AGAGCCCGTCGTTGGCATCGTCGTCATCGTCGAGCAAGTGCAACGACAGCCATCGCCTCAATTGCTGCCAAGTTGCTCTATCCGTACTACAACAGTATCCGTACCAAATAGTCCGGACCCGCCGCAAATTTTGATGAGGCGCTTTTCTGGCCTCACCAAAATTTGCGGCGCATTTAAATTATAATTCCGGATGATTTTGGTGGCGCAAAATAAAGTTTGCGCCGGTTTCTGAAGTCCTCCAATATTTCCGGTTACCAAACGGGCCCTAATTTTAGATTTTTATTATTATATTTATAATACAAAAATAATAATATATATTAAATTCAGAAATATAAAATATAAAAGTATCATATACTGATTTATTAAAATATTTTACTAGTATTAGTAGTAATTATTATGAATTTGCTACGGAGTATAAATGAAAATATATATAATTACTAGTAATAATTATAAAAATGAATATTTATTAAAAAAATCTCAAGGTGGCTGCGATTGTCACGTACTTTACTGGCGGCTTTGGAGGCGTCCGCGCGGCAGGCCCGCTGCATCGATTCGTAGGTGGCTTTTTGGCTTGGTCACTATTCCGAAGGAATTACAGTACCTTTTCCTGTGGTGCACAAGTTGCTGAACGAAGATGGACTGTTCAAGCTGATGCTGGTCAAGGCGGGGAATCAATTGCTAGTGGAACTGCACTGTAGTGCCACCAGAAATCGTGTCATATCTTGCCTCGAAAAATTGCTGGCAAGACATTGTCAAACGAGATCAATAGAAAAATACAAGTGATTTTAGAGTCTACGGCTTGTATATTCTTGCCAGAAGTGTGCATACATGTGGATATATACGTACGTACCAGTATACGTTGAAATAGTAGATTCTGGATTCGGTATGTGTGGATTAGTGTAGTGCTGTCGTAAATTCATTGTCTCTCTTGTCAAGCGCTGTGGATGTTGTCGTGTTGCCGCTTGAATGGGCAACAAACACGCTCACGATTGATCCGCACTAAAAACCTAACTTGAGATTCTTTTGTTACCAGGTACTAAAGTTTATTCCGGCGTAGTTGCAATTGCAAAAGGGAACGAATCACAGGTACCTGGATTGATGAATGTCTCTTACTTCATTTGATTGGCTAACCGACATTCCATTTTATTCATTTTCGACGTTTGATTGGCCAAGAGGATTGCTCGATTTTATCTTTCCGCTAATTATTAATCTTCAACTCGCCGTAAACTGTCCCCATCCTTGTCGGCTCTGCGCGCCGCCAAGGCCTCCGCGTGTCCACAGGAGTCCCCTGGAGTTCAACCTTCCTTTACTCGTTTTCCGTCGCTTCGATTACATACCCGTCGTCCAAAACTTGCACAACGACGATGGCATGATGCAGGCGCCTGCTTGGGCCAACGGCGAATCCCTCAGAAACGACACCAAACCACAAGCAGCGTGCCACGTGGGACTCCCACGTCAACCCAAGGACCTTCAAAGCGCTGGAATACCCTTTCATTGACGTCGGATCCCTGCGTTTCGACAACTGCCTGCTTGCTAGAACTTTGCGAACGAATTGAAGTGGAACGAGACGGCGGATGGCGCAAGGTAGGGGTACCCTCTAAAATGTCGGAAATGTCGTGCTAGCGTACCTTAAACCCAATGTGACGAGACAACCACACGCCAGATAACGTCATAAGTCTGATAACGCCGTAAGGCTGATAACGTCATAAGTTAGATAACGTCATACGCGCCAGTCTACAGTAAACGTGAAGTTTAGTTCAATTTCACATGACACCAATTTCGACGCTATGTAGTGCGCGTCATTTGGTGAAGTGAACAGCTACCGGTAACTCATGTACGTACAGCCAAGCCATGGCAAACTATCAGTATGGTAATCTACTTACGTTACATGTAGCCCTGACAATCCGCATCGTCGTTGATTGAGTGCACTTGATGGTGGTTCGATCCACGTCCTTCAGGTAACTACTTCCCCGTACATATTTATATATTTTCGTTTCCCGTGGAGTGTATTTGTTCCGCAGCGATGGATGTCGGCGGATCAACACTGTACTACTCAAGGCTAAATTATTGACGAGACCCCTTGCGTGTCTCGAGCATGCGCTCGTTGGTTTCATGCAGGCCCTTGAAGTACTTGACGGTCTTGACCTTGAGCTCCAACGTGGCGTCGTCGTCGCACACGATCACCGAGTTTTTGTGCGTTTGGATGGCCGAGACAGTCCACATATGGTTCACGCCTTCCTCAATCACCTTGTACAGCGCGAACGCCTTGGAGTGCCCCGTGATGATGATGAGCACTTCGCGGGCGTCCATGACGGTGCCCACGCCGACGGTCAGCGCCATCTTGGGCACTTGGTTCACGTCCCCGCCGAAGAATCGCGAGTTGGCGACGATCGTGTCGTACGCCAACGTCTTGATGCGCGTGCGGGACACGAGGGACGAGCTGGGTTCGTTGAACGCGATGTGGCCGTCGGGGCCGATGCCGCCCAAGAACAGCTCGATGCCACCGACCTTGGCGATCTTGGCTTCGTAGTCGCGGCATTCTTGTTCCAGGTCGGCGGCGTTGCCGTTGAGGATGTTGACGTTTTCTGCCTTGATGTCGATGAACTGGAACAAGTTGTTGTGCATGAACGAGTGGTAGCTCTCCGGGTGTTCCTTGGGCAGGTTCACGTACTCATCCATGTTGAATGTGACCACATGCTCAAAGCTGAGGGTCCCTTGCTTGTAGAAATCGACCAAGATCTTGTACGTCTTCAAGGGGGTCCCGCCCGTGGGCAAGCCGAGGACGAACGGACGTTCAGCGGACGGCTTGAAGTCATTGATGCGTTGACGGACGTAGCGGGCGACCCACGCGGCGACGTCGGCGGCGTTGTTCTCGATGATGAGGCGCATGATGCTGGGAGGAGGAAGCTAGGTTGTTGCAAAGTGACTGCCGACAGAATTAGGTTGTTGGCAAGAGGGAGGTTCCTTGCATGAACAATAATGTTGCACAATGACAAGCAAAAGTACACCATACGGTGTCGAGTGACCAATCAAATTGCGTGAAATAAAGTTATCCGGATGCGACGCTTCGCTTCGAAACCATGCTTACGAATTGGCCATGGAAACGCCTGCTGAAACCTTGAGGTGGCGTTAGTATGTAGTACCGCCAACGCCAGCCACATCAATCTAAGACGTGGGCGGAAGGGATCCGGCATCGTTTCTAAGTGCTACAATGTAGTAGCCATACATACAGTACCTGTATGTACTTGTGATTCTCTCTTGACATGAAAGGGCCTTTTTCGCATTGTATGAGGCGCAACGAAAACGTAACAGTAACTTCCAGCAACGAAAAATAGTCGACATGGCCTGGCGATCCTTTTTCCGTGTACCTGATGTACATGGCAATGCCGAGATCGTGGTTGTTAGCTATTGCGATATAGTGTACTTAAGTATTTGCAAGCACCAATGCAGCTCACACAGTAGTCGTGTGATATCGCTAGATTTGAAGTCAAATCCCAACACTAACTTGTATTAATAACGTTAACTTACACGTTTTACATTAACTTACTACTGTGGTTATGTATATCAGGTACATGCAGCCACGTCGCTCCCGCAAATCCATACTACATAGTACCATTCAGTACTACATGTACCGGTAGTTGTAGCTGCCCGCTGCATACAGGTAAAGCGGTTTTGCGGGAGCCTTGCTTTCTGCGGCACGTAGTCCGGAGTATGTGAACTCCTCGCAGACTGTACTAACATATAAGCTCCTACTAGTACACGAGTAGTACACAATGAGGTTAGTTGAGCTGGGATAGTTACTGTATAGTCATTGAGAATCAGGGTACTTGGTTTGTCCAATCGGATCCATTTATTTCCATTAAACCTACACTTATTCATCCAATGAGATGTCGTGCTACCTCTACCGCCATTTCAAGATTCTTGGCCATATACTACTACTGTATATTGACAGTTCGATTGTTTGGCCGCAAACTCTGTAGCCTGACATGTCGAGTAGCGCATTTATCGTCGGCGGAGAGCTGGTCCTTGCCGCAGTGGCCTCTCTCTGGGTCATATACTACCAAGCTCCCCTTGCACATGAAGAGTACGTGTCGTCCTACGCGTTGCGGCCGCCGCCGCGGCTGATTGGTCGGCTTTTCCACTTCAGCGCGCTGGTGTACTTTCTCGTGGTGGCCAGTGCTGATCTGAAGCAGACCAACGGGTCGTGTTTGCTCTATTACACGTTCTGGAACTTTATGTTGCAAACCGTGTACTGGGTGTGGGCCCTTGTCGACCCTAAGCGAACGAGTCGCGCGCGGTCCATGTTCCTCGACCTCCTCTTGCCGACGAGCATGGCCACTGTTGTGGTCGTGTGGACAATCCTGTACCCTCTCATGGGAGACGAACTGCAAAATTGGATCAGCTGGACCCAGCATGGGGGCAACCTCGCGCTCTTGCTCATCGAGTTTGTCTGCAGCGACGTGCGGTCTGTACCATTGGGGACGGGCGCCCTCGTTGGTTTGTGGGCCACGACGTACGCGACGTTTGCGTGGGTAGTGCACAGCTTTTACAACGTGTGGTTGTATCCGTTTTTGGACGTCGATCAGCCGCTGGCCCCGCTATGGTGCGTGCGTGCCTGTTCTTTATTTTTAATAATACTATGGTGGTGGGCTAACAAGTAATGTAACTAGGTATTTGGGACTCCTGGCGCTGCACATTGCGTTTTTCGGGTTGGTGGTGCTCTTGGCGGCAATCAAAGTATTTATCGCAGAGCATATGCCAGTGGACTTCGACGGAACGTCCAAGCTATTGCTCCCCAAAGTTACTCCGAAGGCGACCCAAAACCGATGAAACTCATAAATCAATCATGCACGTCAACCATGTTCATGCTCCTATGCTCTATAGTACTAGTACTAGTATATCGTAAGGGCACGATATATTTATTGCAACCACATGAATGCTGATGAATTTGGGCATTTACAGTTAAATGGTAACGTTAGCATTTACTGTTAGTATAAATATTAGGTATTAATACTAGTAGTACTATAGTACTTACCATAACTTACTGTTAGAACATTAAAACGTACGAGATAGTAGTAGTACTACATGTAGTATAATGGCTACTATTAACACTATTAATATTAATAGCATAAATACATACGGTTAATATTAATAATAGTACTCTAGTACTGAAGTATTAATAGTACTCTAGTATTAATATGAAGTAGTACTACCAATAGTAGTACTACGTATAATTGATACTACTATTAATAGTACTCTTAATAGTAACGTTACTACTACTACGTAGTAGTATTTTTTATTATCTTTCATGTCGATATACTCCGGAGTACTATACTGTGGTTGGGATAGATATTTTTCATTTATCCAATTAAATCGACGAATTTGGAATGATGCGTTCTGATTGGTCCATGATGTTCAGTTTGATAACCAAAAATTCGAACGTCGCCTGACGGTCGCTCGCAGTCCTTCGTGATGTTGCACTACGTGGTCGGTACGGTGGAAGCTCTGTCTGTCGTTGTGAGTGTGTCGGTCCTTTGCCGCTTCCCACCTTCGGACAATGAAGCGTACCACTCGTCGTATGCGCTTCGGCCGTCCCCGACAGTGTTCAAGCACCTCTTCTACGTGTGCTGCCTCCTGGGCTTCCTTGCCGTCCTCGTGTCCGACATTTGGAAGTCCGACGGGTATTGCTTGAACCAGTACTCTGTATGGGCGTTATCGATGCAGATCATTTATTGGTCGTGGAGTCTCCAAGATCCAAAGTGTATCAGCCGCGGCAGGCTCATTTTGTTTGACGTTGTGTTCCCCGTGAGCATTGTCATCACCGTGGTCGTGTGGCTGGTCTTGTATCCCATGGCGGGGAACACCAGGAACGACGAGTACTGGAATTGGATCAGCTGGAGCCAGCATGGACTCAACACGGCCCTCCTACTTGTCGAATTCTTGTGGAGCGACGCTCGCGCTGTGGGTTGGAGTACATGTGCTCTGGTCACTCTCTTTCCTACGACTTACACCATCTACGCGTGGATGTTGCACGCCTCGCATCCGCTTACGCCGTGGCTGTTTGCATCGTTCCTTCCAATCGATGACCCCTCCGCCCCCTTCTGGTACGAACAAGGCTCGGCATATCATTCATTCGTGTTTGATTGTAGGTTCATCGCACTCATCGCTTTGCATGCCGGCGTGTTTGCCGTCGTGGTGTGCTTGGCAGCGTGCAAAGTGCGAGCGATCGAACAAACACCCGAACGCATTCACTTGTTACGAACCAATAACCTACAAATATACTACACGTATTAACTAACAATGGCATAAGACATTACGCTGCTACCAACGCAGAGACTAGAATTAACTGTAAACTTTGACGTCCATATATATTGGTTGGCCCAGCACAATTCGCTTTTTGTCAATTTATACAGTTTCAAGCGAGCTTTCTCATACTATGGTAAGCTGACTACATTGAATTCATATACTGTATAGTACAGTGTAATTCAGTAGATCAACGGATACTGGGGATGTACAACGATGTATTACTACTATTAATAGTACTAGTAAGTGTTAGTACAGTACTAGTAGGTCTAAACGAACGAAGTGGAGCGACTTCACAACGTATACGGACGACCGAAAGTGCACTAGCTCATAAACAATCATTATCATTCAATATCCAATCAAATCCTTCAACTCTGTTTGTATCACCCAATGAAATCACTCTATTCCACCTCAAGATCACTCGATCAACCGAACGACCATCACAACGTCATGTGGGGGCCGGTTGTCGTGGGCTGCGAAGAAGCATTGAGTGTGGTCGCGTGCATCTACTTCCTGCGCCAATTCCCACCGCATCGGCAAGACGCATACACGTCTCCGTATGCTTTCCCGTCGGATCCTCCGAGTGTGTTGCATCGAGCATTCTACGCCGCGTGTGCGATCTTCCTCTTCGTCACCCACGTCGCCGACGTGATCAAGACGGACGGACATTGCTACTACTTCTTCACGACATGGAACGTGTTGTTGCAGCTGTCGTACTGGTGTTGGTCGTTCTTCGATGCATCAGGCCACAGCCGAGGTCGTGCCGTGATGTTGGACGTCCTGTGGCCAACCTCGATCCTCGTCACTGCCGTCGTGTGGGTTATCCTGTACCCCATGGTCCACGCCATCCACGAAGACTACATCCTCTTGAACTGGATCAGTTACTGCCAGCACGGCATCAACGCATTCCTGTTGTTGGTCGAATGGATCTGGAACGACGCGCGCCGAGTCGCAGTGAGCACCTGCGCGTGGAGTATCCTCTTCCCGACCATCTACGTCATCTACGCTTGGATCGTGCATGAGACTGTGCACATCAAGTGGCCATACCCGTTCCTCGCCACCGATCGTCCGTCCGCTCCGTTGTGGTTTGCAATCCCATCCCATTCCAAACTCATCCATCCCCTAGGTACTTGTTCTTCTTTATGCTTCAGGTCATGGTGTTTGCGCTGGTCACCGGTGCCGCGTCCTTGAGAACTCGCGCCGTCAGTCGAAAGCGTGTCGACACCGCAGACTCCCTCGTCCATCTGTTGGTCGTGTGAGCGGAAGTGTTCACTTCGAATTGCATGAAGCAGCACTTTCTAAACCATAAGATGTAGACTTGCGCATCTTGATGGAACGAATGTCCATTTCTCAAATCAATACTATTAATAACTAGTTAGTACTATTTGACTGATACTATGTCATAGTAGTACTAATGGTACTACTATCAGACTATGTACATACAGTACTTTAGTGCTACTAGTAGTAGTACTAGTAAAAACGGTACCAACTAACGGCAACTAATCACTATTAATAAGAAGGTTTCGACGAAATGCAATGGTAATAGTATGCTGGTTCAAATAAAGGGAACAATAGGAAATAGTAATAAATTCACACACGACAACATGGGCTGTCACGCGGTCGTGGCAGTCAAATGCTTGGTGTGGTTGAGTACTCGCGCCGTGTAGGTTTCGGTGCGTCGGTCGAAGTCCAATATGTTGATGCACGTGTTGTCTTGGGCCAGCTTCGGGTTTTCCAACGGAACACTCAGCAGCGACGACAGCACGATCTTGTTGAAGCGGCCATGGCACACGAACGCGACGTGGTCGTCGTTTTCGGCGGCGGCCGTCCGAACCAGGTCGTGGATGGCAGTGACACCGCGCTTCTCGACGTCCTTGGGACATTCTCCGTGCGGAAACGTCACGTCCACGTTGCCTTGCTTCCACTTGGCGTAAATGTCCTGCAGCGCCGACGCGTGACTCGACCGAGCGGTTCCTTCCATGGTGCCAAAGCTCATCTCCTCCAGATCCGCAAACTCGCCCGACTTGACGCCGGGGTGATTGTCGAGAAGGTACGACGCCGTCTCACTCGCTCGACGTAAGCGACTGCTGTAGATCGCACTCAGTGGAATGTCCTTGAACGCTCGCGCCAACTTTGCTGCTTGTTTCTGTCCCGTCTTGTTCAGTTGCGAATTCACGCCCCGCCCTTGCATGATGCCGAGGTGATTGAAGTCCGTTTCCCCGTGCCGGCAGATGTACACACGCACAAAGCCTTCCTCCAGAGGTGGTAGTTGATGCGAGATGCTTCGAAGGGTCTGCATCATGACCAGGACGATCCGAGAATGCCAGAGGTCGTAAGCACATCCGCCGCATTTCAATCGCCTTTAGCGAATCGACCAACCACAAGCGCGTTCCCGTCGTTTCCTCGCATTTGATTGGTTGGCGCAGCCCCTGTTCCGGCGTGTCACTGGCCTCGTCGAAATCCTCATCCAATCAAATCGCGTCAATATTTCAACTACCAATCAAAACGCGTCACCCTCTACCACGTAGAAGCCTCCCAAGGATACAGACCACATCATGGATGCAGGCGATATGGGACGACTGTAGAAGTCGTCTATATTCCGCCTCCTCAACCAATAAAGCTATCACAGCAGCGACCCTTCATGGAACGGCATACATTCTATGGGATGAGCAGGTCAGGGCCTAGCTTCTCGCGTCTGGGTTGACGCGATGGGTGAGAACTAATTTGCTTCAAACTCGCGACGAGAACGTTATGGAGCGTGTAATCAATCGCTGTGTGTACTGGAGCATAACGGACTTGCCCCAACTGCATCATAGCGGCTTCAAATCGTCCTGTTGTCAAGCTACAATGATGAACATCCACGTAGAGTTTTCGTACGATCGCACTGCATTTCTCCGTGTCCTTGATCACCAAAGGCAGAATGCTGGTCCAAACGACCTACACTCATATGAGCGAACCCGCACCCGAAATGATACTTGTAGTTTGTATGTAATGAGAATCCGGGTTGGGTGCCAGCCCTTGCCATTTTCGCCGTCGGAGCTTCGGCACCAAATAAGGAGGTCGCCGGCGGAATGGAATCGTGGGTGCTGTATCGAGTGTCTGCGGCTGGCGACGTGACGTCGGCGCACGTGCAGCAGGTGTGCTGGGTCCTGGTTGTGGTGCTTGTGAGCTTCCTGGGTGTGTTTAGCCTCCCGCTACTTATGCTCGTGGTGTACCTGTTCCATCGGTTCGTGGTGAAGCAACGGTTTGATCGATGGACGGAGTTGTCGGTGGAGTGCCGGGATGCCGTGTTAGCGATCACGCAAGAGGTCTCGCCTCGCACGACCGACTTGACCGACTTCGAATGGTTTGGCCACAGCGACCACTTCAACCTGAGCCTCCAAACAACGATAGAGAGCATTCGCATCAACAACCCACGCATGCACACCCGTGATCCGTTCTACGAGACGTTATCCATATTCGGTCCCGCCATCACCCCGGATGCCTTGGCGTTGGCGCAATGGAGTCTCCTCCGCGCGGTAGATCGGTACTTGAACTTCGCGGAAACGAAGGCGAACGTGGAAGTGATGCTGCAGGATTTCATGGTCAAGAAGCGCTTGTACGACGAACAGATGAACGAGAAGAAGGAGCAGCTGCGGCATCGACTGCGCAAGGAGCTCAAGTGGCGAAAGGACCCCGCGGAGGAGTGGGAAGAGAGCAACTGGCTCAAGAAGTGGTGGCGTAACACATGCAGCGGCTTGTCGTCAGTGCCGCCGCCGCCGTCCGCGATGCCACCGCCTGATGGAGACAGTTGCTGCTGCATCTGCCTGGAAGAGTACGATTCGTCTAAGGACATGATCCAAGCCAAGTGCCGACACGTGTTCCACGAAGACTGCCTCATCGAGTGGCTCAAGCTCAAAACGTCCAACAAATGTCCGTATTGCCGCGCCGACATTTTAAAACCCACGTTTCTCCAGCAATTTTTCTCCCATTAATCTATCAACCAAAATCTTTTTTATAATATTTTTTTACTACTAATTTTCATTTTCACGGCCCCATCTAGTTATGTACATCGACTCGAGAGGGCAGATGGACAAGCGTATCGAGCTATGACATGGCAGTCTCACAAATCACCACCAAAACCGACGTGCCACCAAGACCATGGCAAGCAATTCCCCCTCAAGCACACGCATAGTTAGCTAGCCATTGAAGTTCCAAATGTCTTCGATGTTGTGATGAGGCACTTTGCCTGGCGCTGGGTGTGACTTCCCAGCTCTTTTCGAGAAGGTGGAAGAGGGCTTAGCGAAAGTCAGACACCATGTTCTTGAGCTCCATGAGGCTGGAGACATTTCCCACGCTGCGGTAGAACGACGGCGACTCGTCCGCGCCAAGCACGCTGCCTGAAGCATGGGCAACATGGACTTTTGAAAGTGGCGACACCGTCCGACTTGGCGTCTTCCATTAACATCCTAGTACGCCAAACATCACGACAAGTCAAGCCAATCACGGTATCATGCGCACTTGGCCAAGACCAGCGCTTCTCGGTCGTAAGGAAATGTATGGTCCACCAAGATCCTCGTCACACATTTCGACGATCCAGAGGTTCGTACCGAGCGGTGTGCCTCGACGTGTCGTTACAAGTACCAACGATCGAATGTACGCAGTGGTTACGCCGCTCGATGCTCAGAGATCCATTCAGTTCATTCAGTAACATCCATGCCAGTCGCCCAATCACTCGAAAGTCTTCGGGGTCCTTCCGAGACACCACCACTTGCAAGATGAGCTCCTCGGTGGCCTTCGCTAGCCTAGGCGCATCATACGACTCCAAGTCGTTCGTGTTGTCGTCCAGCAGCCCGCACTCTTGGAGAACGGTGGGCAGCTGGAGGTACTCTTGATGGCAGATGTCGAGCGCCGTTTGCCGTCGCAGCGACGCTGGCTCCTTGGGCACACGGAATCCATGGTGGGCAGCAGCGCCTGCAACGACTGGCCAACATCGACCTGCTCCTGGAGCTGTAAACGAAGCTTGTCGTTCTCGGTCATGACAGACAATTTTGGCCATGTGCTGGGCCATGGACTGCCACCCCGACGAATCCGTCGACCTTTCCTATGGTGTGAATGCTGCAGGGCGTGGCGAAGGGGCCCCTTGCTTGAGCTTAGACAGGTGCCTCTCCATTTCCCCGACCTTGACACGCAAGTATTCAAGTTTGTCTCGCTGTCGTTTTCGACTTTGATTGACCTTGGGGTGAAGTTCGTTCACTCATTGAGCCACTGGAAGGAAGCACGGCGCTCCAACGATTCTTGTCGCCATTGTCGGATGCATCATTTGGGCCAAACAGATCCATATCCTGTGCAATCATGGCTTCCGCGTCAATGTTGGCGTCGTCCCACGGCATGAAGTCGAGGTGATCCATGACGAAACCCTCCACTTATCAAATCTTGAAACTCAAAAGTGCGCCAAAAGTACTCAATATCATTTTATAAAGGGTATAGAATGTCAGAATGGGATATGCCCTCATTTTTTCTTCGAGGTATTAATTTATAAACTATACGAATGTTGGGACCATCATTCATTCCTACATTACTTATCCATCATCAAGTTGACGCGGTGGAATGTGTCGGCCACGTTGCCGTTGTAGTTGGCCAAGAGGGTGTCCATGGCTTCCGAGAAGTCGGCGATCATCGACTTGAGCGAGAGGAGGACCGAGTCCGTGACGGTCCCGACGCGAAAGTACCGCGACGCGGGGTCACTGAGGCTGCGGGTGCCATGGTTCGACTGGAGCATCGGAAGGGTCGACTTTTGGAAAAACTTGAGTCGACAAGCTTTGCCATTGTCAAGTCGTTCGATCACCAACCTACATGGACTCGCGTGAGCCACCAAGATGGGAAACACATGACTGACGCACCATGCACTCTTGTTCAACACCAGCGCCCCTTCGCGAAAGGGATGCAGCTCATCCTCCAGCACACTCCTATAGCCATTTGCATCAACAACACTCCTCGGACATTGGCGGCGATCGAAAGATCTCATACCGACACACAATCACGTCGCGGTCGGGCTCGGTGAATCGCTTGTAGAGGCAATTGGCTTGGTTGGCCAAGTCGTTCCAGTGCAATTCAATGCCAACGTACGCCGAGTTGTAGTCAATTTTTTCAATCATCTACCCATCAACGCCCCCGAATATATGAACGACAGTCATACGATAAAGAGAAGGAGTGTTGCACAGTACCTCGTACGTGAGCTGCTTCTTCTTGGCGCCGCAGCCCCCTTGAAACAGCGCCCACGCCATTTCCGACACCACGTTGAAGTCGTAGCGCTTGGTCTTGCAGAACGCCACTTGCAGCACCAGATCGGCGTTGCATTTGGCCAGACGGGGCACGTACGCCTCCATGTCGTCCACCTGGTCGAGGAGCCCGCCCTCAACCAAGACGCCGTCCGTCAGACGGTACTGTTGCTCGTAGATCTCGTGGATGGCGTGGCGCCGGAGGACTGGGTCCTTGACGAGCTTGAGCACGCGCCACTGTTCGTTTTCAAGCGTGGGCAGCACCGTCAGCTTGGGCCGCTTCTTCATGAGCGTTTGCAGCGCTTTGCCAAACTCGATCTGCTCTTCCAGTTCGTGCTTGAGCTTGTCATTCTCGTTCAACGCGGTCTGCTTGGCGATGCGCATCTGGTTGGCCATCTGCTGCCACGGGGTCTCGTTCACGATCTCCATGGCTTTGACTTGGCCCACGATGCGCAAGTGCTGTTCCAGCTCGTTCACCTTCGAGCGAAGGTACTCGAGCTCCTCGCGCTGCCGCTTGCGACTGTGGTTGATCTTTTTCGGACGGTTGGCTGCGTCGTCGCCCAACGGCGTCGGCGCTTCTTGGTCCGACGACATGCTCGCAGTGTCCGTTTGGCTCCTAGACGACGACAGGACCTTGGCCGCACTCATATTGTTCTTCACAGCCAAAGGTGCAAACAGATCAAAGTCATCCATGAGCATGGCATCTACATCAAACGTCGCGGCTAATGCCTCTTCCAGAGGCATCGTGTCCAGCGCATCGATCATCAGTGCATCCATTGTATGTGTTCAAAGCGTCTTGATGGGAAGGCTACAGAAAACTGGACGACCAGAAGTATGACACATAAATACTCATATATAGAGGCTATCGAATATACAGGTTGACGTGCTTTAGACTTTGATGCAAATAATTCAGGCAAAAATATACATTATAACAAAATATGTATATCCACAGAGCAAACCGTACAACTGACCGAACATTGAATGTACTACGTACAGTGTGAAAATAAAGAATCATAAAAAGACACATGTTTTGGTGATATTACATTTAAATAGCCCTGCCAACTTCTTCAACTTCAATCTCGGCGATGTTGCCTTTGCGGGTGCGCTTGACCACCTTGAGCTGCGTGCCTGGTGCCAACAAGCATTCCTTCTCCCCGGGGAACATGGACAGCACGGAAATGTCCATCGCAGTCTTGCACCGTACTCGGAGCAACGTGCAGGAGCCCCCGCAGCTCCGCATAAAATTGCGCGCGACGTTTTCGTCCGACGTGCAGCTGCTGACCCCCCACCACGTGATCACTTTGCCTGGTTCGTACGCTTCAAAGAGGTCCACGCTCACGCCGCGCCACAGCGTTTGTTCCTTTTGGGGCATGCGACACATGGCTTCCAGGAACACGCGGAGGTAGTTGAAGTACTTTCGAATGGCAGTTCGGTTCTCCGACCTAGAAAAGTACAAGGTCAATATTGTATCTAACGTTATGGGGTAATGTCAGTGGATTGAGAGAGCACGCACCGTAAGGTCGAGTTGAGTTGGGAGTAGATCCAGTTGCCAGTGTACAGCACAATTGAGCCGTACAATTCCTACATTGGACCAAACGTTTGAGTTCTAGAAACTACGTAGCGTTGGGTGTAGTACCTTGTCCATGGGTCGAGTGGGAGACCCAGCGTTTTGTTTGACCAAGTCCGCCCCTCGCGCTTGACATTGCTTGATGGCTCCAACTACTCACACAAGGAGATCATTCAGTTAGCCGATAAAGGTTTTTTTTCGATTAGAGGACCTTGGGTGATGCCAGAGGACGCCGCTAAAAGCGTCGACGGCAACGGCAAGTCCATGATGCCTTCAATGGGCGCCAGTCCAGTTTGCTCTTCCATGTCGTCAAAACCCATGCGAAGCCAAAAGTCTAGGCGCAAATTCCATCCGGAGATGCAGAACCATCATGAAAGCGTTGATAATATATACATATATACCGAGCAAGGCTGCTTTTTCGTGAATGAGCTCGATAGAGTTGAGCGGCGGCGGGCGTTGCCGACCGCTGAGCGTCGGGATGAGCGAGTAGTACTCGCCAGACAAGGCCGTGACGGCGCCAGGGTTGTGTTCGAGTGCGACCAAGAGCTTGTCCAGCACCACTTGGCCTTTGTGGACCTGCGCAGCCGACAGTTTGCCCATGGCGGCATCGCCGCCGCCACCGCCATCCCCTGACTCGGACGCATCGAGTTCCACGAGTTGGTACTGCAAGTCGTGCTTGACGAACGCGTGGCGGTCGCTCCACTTGTTTTTGGTCTTGTCTTTGAACTTCTTTTCAAAGAGTAGGATCGCTTTGTCCAAGTCATCGCCGCAGTCGGCGAGCTGCTGCTGCCCCACGTCCCCCAGACGGCCCCACCGAGTAAACACATGGTACTGCCCCGAGGTTGCCACGAGTTGCAAGATGTAAAACTTGTTGTTGTTTTCGCCAATATTTGTCTGCATCAAGTCTGTGGTAAAGTCGTCGACGATCGTGAACTGGTCGCGGCCTGCCAAATGCTTGTCAGGTTTCCGCGTCGTGACTCGAACTGGAGATGACTTGATGGTGGCCTCCGTCTTGGGCTTCTTCTCCGGCGTAGTTGGTGGCGCGGCGGCCGCACGCTTCTTGCCTTTGCCGACGGCAGCTGACGTCGCCTTGTTCTTGACAGACATTGCAACGGGTGATGTTGGTGACGGTACTGCCTTGGATGTTGCCTTCGCGAGAGCTGCCGTGAACTCGGTTTCCGTCCACACTACAGTTCCTGGAGCCGCCTTGTCAACTTTGCCGTCACTCCCCACGACCAAGTGCGTCGTCTTCTTGGTCACACTAGACGAGACCACTCCGCCCGCATCCTTGACCTTGGACGCCGCTTCCGCACGCGTGAATGACTCTAGCTTGCCCGTGAACGCGACAACCTTCCCTGCCAAGACCGGTTGTGGGTCTACCTCGTCCTTGACAGACACATGAATGACCACTGGGGGTGTCGGTGCTGATTCTACATTGGCATCAACGCTGGACGTTGGTGTGATAGCCGCAGTGAACTCTGTTTCCGTCCACACCACAGTTCCTGGAGCCGCCTTGTCAACTTTGCCGTCACTCCCCACGACCAAGTGCGTCGTCTTCTTGGTCACACTAGACGAGACCACTCCGCCCGCATCCTTGACCTTGGACGCCGCTTCCGCACGCGTGAATGACTCTAGCTTGCCCGTGAACGCGACAACCTTCCCTGCCAAGACCGGTTGTGGGTCTACCTCGTCCTTGACAGACACATGAATGACCACTGGGGGTGTCGGTGCTGATTCTACATTGGCATCAACGCTGGACGTTGGTGTGATAGCCGCAGTGAACTCTGTTTCCGTCCACACCACAGTTCCTGGAGCCGCCTTGTCAACTTTGCCGTCACTCCCCACGACCAAGTGCGTCGTCTTCTTGGTCACACTAGACGAGACCACTCCGCCCGCATCCTTGACCTTGGACGCCGCTTCCGCACGCGTGAATGACTCTAGCTTGCCCGTGAACGCGACAACCTTCCCTGCCAAGGACATTTCAAAGATTTGAAACGCTCGTACGTAGCGAGGGAATCACCTCTGACATTTTATATTTAGTAAATCCGGATATATGTTATCCGTATAGCAAAACGAAAAATGTCCTCCGTGACGACCGCACCAAGACCACGACGGCGATGCTTCGACGGCTGGGATGGAGGTCACATGTGAATATTTGCGGCGGGTGTTGTGGTGACGGCGGCTTCACTTTCTTTGCCCATGTTTGGGGTTCATCAGCGTACATGCATATCAAACGTTCGCTTGATGGATTCATGGTCGTACACTAGAGGCACTGCCCCGAGTCGCGATCGCACTGGACCAGCAACACACGATCTTTGCTCTCGATCCTAGTCATGGCCATGCCAATCTCACAGAACAAAGTGATATATAACCCACCCTCAAGGACCCAACGTCATATTGTATGTGCTTGCCTAGTCACAACCGCCCAAGTCATCGTTCTCTCGTACTCGATTCCACTGCTCGGGCATGCTATCGTACAATATCATCGACCGATGCTGTTTGCCACACGAGACTTTGTCCTTGGGCTAAGCGTATCTACCGCCATGGCTCAACTTGCTACGAACATCCTCAAGATCACCACGGGGAGGTTCCGGCCCAACTTTTATGCCATGTGCCACTGGGACAGCAGCAACACGACGCCGTGGGATGGCACATCGAATCTGTGCATGCTCGCCGTTGGTGAGCTGGAAGGCCGGCAGTCGTTTCCGTCAGGACACACTTCTTGTGCGTTTTCGACGCTCGCCTTCTTCAGCGTACGCCTCCAAACAATTCAATGTCCAGAGTAACCTCTTATAGCATGCTGTCAGCTCTACTTGGTCGGTCGAGCCCACAGGGACACTCGTCAGCGTGGGCGATCGAGCCGTCATCGTATGGCCGCGTTCGGCTGGGCGTCGTTGCCGCTGCTGTTGGCGTTGTGGGTGGGCGTGACTCGATACCAAGACAAGTGGCATCACACTGACGATGTCTTGGTAACGTGACTGCTTTATCATTGATTGAGCTTTGGCAATTGTATCATTGCACTCAAAGAGGAAGATACTTAGGCTGGGGCGGTCATTGGTGCTGGGTGTGCGTACGCTGCGCACTCGTGTTATTTTGTGCTGTTCCAGGTCGACCGAAAGCATACCGACGAAGACCCCATTTCTACGGACGGCTACTCGACCTTGCCATGTCTAGCCGACGCAGTGGCAGTGTAATTATACTATGTAATACTACTGTACGTACTGTAGTAATAACATCAAGACAACATTGTAACAATAGACCAATGCAATGTAACACGATGTTGTTATGGAGTTCATTGAGTTGATTTCTCAACGAAGCAGCCGTCAAGTGGATGATGTCTTTGTCTCCAAATACTGTAAGACGGCGTCTTAATCCACGCTCTCCCTATGGGTGGGGGTTCGCACTAACGAGTGATTTTAGTACCAGCCCCCCCACCAACGGGATGGCTATCATGGCCCAGAGCTTACCGCGGTACACCATCGCAGCAGCCGCTTGTTTCTTGGCTCGACGACGTCCCCGCTTCTTCTGGGACGGCGACAACGCCTTCGTCTCGTCTTCGAGTTGCTTGGGGTGGTCCTCTTTGGTCGGAAAACTGCCTTGGGTCTCCTCCTGATTGTTATTTGACGCGGCAGTGGGGATCGAAGAAGGCGGGTTGCTCCTGGCAATGATCGACTGCAGCAAATTCCACCCTTCCTGCACATTTTTGGGTCTAGCAGGCTCATGGGGCTCTTCGTCGGGTGTGGCGGCGTGCGTCTTGCCTTGGTCAGGGACCTTGTCGTCGTCGCTAGACGTGGAGGCTTCATCGAGGCTCCGGTACATGTTGTTCGACTCGGAGTTGTTCCGCGGCGTAGACGCTCGAGATTTCGACGGTGTTTTGGCCCTACGCGGCTGTTTCGGTTCGACAACGCCGGGTGTTAAACTCGCCCGAACTTCTTCTTCAAAACTCAAGTCATCCACGCAATGCTGCTGCTGCTGCTGCTCGAGTGACGTCGTAATGATGGTCAGGGGGGACGTGGCTGCTGCCACCAGTCGAGCCTCCGAGCCTCCCTTGGAGAAGGTATCGTCCTTCCAAGATGTTGTCGGCTTGACGCGGGGACTGTTGCTTCTGCTTCGATTACTTGGAGACGCCTTGGACGCCCCTGGTGGTTTCTTTGCGCTGCAAACTTCGTCGTTATTGGACCCTGCGCCGAAAGAATTAGGGCGAGGACTGCTGCTCCTGCTACTACTGGCTTTGACAGCCTTGGAGGGGGGCTGTTTTTGGCGAAGGAGGGCTTGCATGTGCTGGGCACTGGGAAGAAATTCCGTGCCAACGAAAGCAAATGTGATACAGTGGCGTTTCACCCATGTTTCTGTGAGTTCTTTGCCGTGAAATTGCATCTGTCCAAATCGTCAATCAGACGATGATTCAACCCCGTCAACATGACCTATTACCTTGTTGGCCACGTGATCACGAAACATGTCGTTCGTTACGACAAAACCATCGTGCTTGATCGCGTAGTCAATGATAAACAAATCGTCGTGGGCTTGGGGGGGCGTGAGTACGACCTTTTCGAGCAAAACGAGCTCTTGGACAGCTGCCATTTCGGCTTTTTGGTCCAACTCCATCTCCGCCGACTGCTGCGAACGACTTCGAGGGGTGAGGGTTTTCGACTTGACCCAGTACCCTGGCGCAAACGCAATGCACCGAATCCCGAGGGACTCGAAGTGGTCGATGGCATGCTGCAGCCGTTGAATCCGCACCGCTCCTCGCACGACCGTGGCGACGTTCGCCGCGTCCAGCACCACGAGCGACTGGGACGTCGTCATCCAAAGTATGCAGTGGTGAGTTGGAGAATGCGCCATGGAATTGCCAAGGTGTCGCGCATGGAGTTGCGATCTGACCCGACTATAAATATACTCGGCAATGGGGACGACTGGGGAAGTTGACGCCAGGTTTCATTGGATAAGAATCTTGAACAAATACCATCAAGTCGATGATGATTGGCTACACACCGAGCTTGAAAGGATTCAATGGGTCCAGTAGCCTTGCATGTTTGAATGATTAAGTGCATGCATGCATCGGGCACAATGTGCATGTAGTGGTCGCGTGGAGATATTCCGTTGATCGCTCATGGAAGTTGACATGATTGATGGCTGTGACGACCGACCCCCGTGATGGATGGGTGTAGGAAGAAAAGATCATGTCAACGTTGACCAGGTATCGCTCGCTTGTTGGGTATGGTTAGCATAGTTCAATTTGACTCATGGCGCTTCCACGAACGAGTTTGCTTTGGTGCATTTATGTGTGCTTGGTAGGCTGATCTGATATTTTACAACTCTTATTGACCTTGGAGTCGCTCATTTGCACGATAGGTCATTTCTCTGGAGTCTACCTACGCCGATGCAACCGTAGACATGTACCAACAAGAAGCAATCGACACCCAACAATGCCACGACAAGTTCCGTGACGTGGCAAATGCGTCCACTTCCATGACCACGGCCCATCCGCTTTTCAATTGCTTTCGCTCGTTCGACGAAATTGCATCCTTTCTCGACAGGTTGCTCTTGTCGAGTCGCCCATCCAACCGCCACCTGTTGAAAGTTCCCATTGCCTCCACTGTCCAAGGTACCGAATGATATGCAAGGCGTCCCTTCTCACAATATCCTTCTGCGTAGGTCACCCTATCTTTGGCTACCACTGGACCAAGCCATCGAAAGGCCGGGCGCTGCTATACATTCAAGCTGGCGTCCACCCCCGAGAATGGGTGTCCATTTCCTCTTTGGTGTACGCCATGGTCAAGCTCATCTCGTCGCCATCTTCCAAGGCAAAGCCCCCCCCTTGGCACAAGAAAAAACTCACAGCATTTGTGCGACTTTCTTGTAGGCGCTGGACGACTGGGACATTGTGTTTGTCCCCGTGGTCAACGTGGACGGCTACAAATTGACGTGGAGCGCTCCCGCAAACCGACTGTGGCGAAAGAACGCTCGTGGAATTGACTTGAATCGGAACTTTGGCCCGGCGTCGTACTTTACAGCGACCAACGACACGACCAGCGAGACGTATTCTGGCCCGTACGCGATGAGCGAGCCAGAAACCAAAGGGGTCAGATTTACTACTTCGCCTTCATATTGGTTAGCGATTTTTTGACATTTCAGTTGGTGTGTGGTAGATTGCGGCTTATCTAGAGTCCATCCAATCGCGGCTGCGCGGAACCCTAGACGTTCACACGACTGCAGGCGTCGTCGTGCGTCCGCTATCCGTTTCCAACGTAACCAACGTCCATGCATATATATATATTGCATACCATATTGCATACCATATTGCACAATATGTTTGATCGTCGTCATATTGCAGGCACCATTGCAAGGCGACGACGAAGCCTCCATGTCCAAGGTGGGCGAGGCCGTGGCCAGCGCCATGAATAATGCTGGTACAAGTCCACACGCTTCCCTTTCATTTTTAATCGTGTGTCCTTTTCGTAGCAAGAAGTGGGGGTGGCAGCAGTGATGTCCCGTACACGAGCATCGCAGGCCACGAGCTGTACCAAGGCGCGTTGTATTCAGGTGTGACACTGGTTTGCGTGTATCGATCGTTTCAATGCGATAGATCTCAAATAATGTGGTCATGTAGGCACGTTCAAAGACATGGTGTACTTGAGCCTGAACCGGACGCCGTCGCTGACGATTGAGCTACGGGGCGAGAGTGGGTTTATGGCTTCGAGCGGGTCGATTCGGCGATCGGGTGACGAGCTCGTTGAGGCCATTGGGGCGTTTGCTTCTCAGCTCCACTAAGTCTTGCGATTACTTCGAAGTAGTTAGTACTACTAGTAACTCCACGGAACACAAGCATCATGGAACGTTGGTATATTCGTAGTATAAACTCCTAGTACTCCCTACAAACACTCTGTAATATGTTGAAAGCTACAGTTTGCTTTCGATAGAGTCCACGCCCGAGAGCAACAATTGCATCAATCGATCCAAGTCGGCCAGGCCCTTGGTCACATGGAAGTTTTTGAGCACCCCTATAACGGACATGTAAATGTTGTGAAATCCTATACTTCATTGGGATTTATATATTATTCGATAAGGGGTAAAGTGCACAGCAACTTGAAATAAGAGTCAGTTTGTACTTTATGAATTGGCTACAAATTTCCCAGCAATTCTGCGCGATTTCGTAAAAATACCGAACCTTGCCGCGCAGTTTGATTGGTTTTCCCCATTCCGCAGAAAAATCACGAGGTAAAAAGAAAAAAGAATGTAGCCAATCCGCGAAGAGTAATTTCAAAGATTGACCAATGGGATTGCGATTTGTGAACAGGGTCCGGAAATTCGTACCAAATCCATAATATCAATCAACGTACCTTTGGCTTCGTAGTACGCAATCAGTGGCTCCGTCTCGTTTGCGTACACTTGCAACCTGCACACGTGGTAAGCATAATCAACATATGAATGAGGGTGGTGATACCGATGTCGCACGACGTCCACAGCGTCGTCGGGTCGTTGTACGAGCTGGGCACTGCCACACTTGTCACACACACCATCCACCTAATAACCACATGATATTTGATATTAGCAACGAGTGACGTTTGTTAGCATGGTTCGGAGCAACAATAGACCTTGGGAAGCAACGGGGGCATCACGTATTCCCCGCGGTTGATATTGGCGACGTTGTATCCCGTGCCACACGACGCACACATGCTAGAGCATATTCAACACCAATATGTTATCATACACTATTTTCAACACATCATATTGTATACCGTCGGCCGCTGATCTTCTCCAGCAGTACCCACTCGGGCAGGTCAAAGTTCACGACCAAGTCGAGCGTGTCGATCTTATCGAACTCGATGGCCTGGCTGGCATTGCGAGGAAAGCCATCCTGCAAAGCACATGAGCGGAATCACGATGATGCCGAATGAAGAGACGAGGTAGTTCGCACCAGAATGTACCCGCGCTTGGCATCGTGTTCCTGCAGGCGCGCACGAATCATGGTCAGGATGATGTCATCAGGGACCAATTTGCCCGTGGAGCTAAATTCCTTGATCTGCTTGCCCAAAGCAGAGTCCCGCTTGATTTCGGCGCGCACCAAGTCGCCTAGGAGGACGCTGTTCAGTCAACACAGGTCGATGGCGGGATGGATGTACCCGTGGAAATGGTGGGGATGTCCAACTTGGGAGCGATGCGTGAGGCATATGTGCCTTTCCCGACGCCAGGCGGGCCTAGGAACATCATGCGCGCATTGTCTTGGAAGGCCTTCTTCATGGTAGCTTCGCTAGGTGTCGGGGATGGTCGACGATGCGCGTGCAAGCAAGTCAAAGAGTGGCACCCATTCACCCATATCGAAGTTCAAGACGTATTTCGAAGTTGAATTCGGTCGACTTGTTCAGACCATGCTTAGTAGTACTAACGAGACAATAGTACTACTATTAATACGTAGTACTACTGTATATTAATACAGCAGGCGTACTACTAGTATTAATACTACGTAGTAATCACCACACTATTTCAATGCATATGTAACTATGTAACTGCTACTATGCAAGTAAAATTCGACCCGGGCTTCAAAGTTAAGCGTCCGCATGATAGACATTCCTAAGCTTATTTCGTATACTGGTAGTTACTAGGTAGATGCGTGGAAGCACTATTCCATCCATGGCCACTGCGTCCAGGTACATTACGAATCAACGTACAGCGTTACAGTGTTCGTAGTACTTGTAACCGCTAGTACATAACCACCGTCGCGCGTTGGTTTCACTTTGATAGGGCGGTCGGAGCTTCAAAATGCCGTCCACTGCGTTCTCAAAGAAGCCGGTGTCACTACTGCGGCACATCTTATGGACCCGCGCCCCCGCGGCGTTTCCACGGGGATGGCCGTGGTGTGCGTCGTGTGCATGGTGTTGGACGTCGTGGTCAACAACTGGGGCCTGAACGACTACATTGGCAACGCCCGGTCGTTTTTCACCCCCGTGCTGACCAAAATTGCGTCGGTGAAGGACCTCAAGGATTACTTTGTCTTTCCCACGGATGCGTCGCCGTGGAGTTCGTCCAACGCCGGTCGATTCATGCTCAACCACTCGCTCGCTTCTATCCACGCCCGGGACGATAGCCACTACGTCCTCACGGCAGGGTCATATGCCGTCCTAGACGCCGCCAACGACATCTGCGTCGACTTGATCGACGAGTACCCCGTCCGTCAAGGAGTCGCAAGCGCCCAGCTCGGCCACGTCACGGACAAACTCGGGGCTCGACTGTGTCCAATTTATTCGGGACCATGCCGCCCCCAGCCCCCCCAGGTACTGACCCCATCCAGCTCGCCGAGTTGGGCTACCGGCCGGGCCGCTTGGACTGCGACATGCGACTCACGACCCCCTGGAAGTCCCCGCCCACGGCGTTCTCGTGCACGCGAACTTATCCATGTACCGGTTTTACGCCCGCGCGTTCTGCACCGGATGCATGCCCATCATGGAGCTCGGTCTGGACAAGTGCCAAGTACACTACTCGTTCAATGCAACCACGCAGTCGCTGGTTGTGCACGCGAGCGAGTCCATCTTTGGCCACAACCACTACGTAGGGATGCTGCTCGAACGCTCGAGCGTCACCACGGCCGGCCTCTGGGTTCGCATCACGTGCGTGTTGTACTTGGTGGTGGCGTTCTCGTCGAGCCGCAAGACCATTCGGTGGACGAACGGGTCGACACTCACCACGTGGTTCAAGAAACTCAACCACACGCTGTCTCCGGCGGTGTACCGGCATCCGAGCCGCGCGTTCAGCTTTTCTTACTTGTGCTTCAACAGTGACATCTTTGTTGGGTTGTACTTGATCGCCGCTCTCTTTGACGGAAAGTCGAGCTCGATATTTTCCCGCGTCATGTACTTTTGGAACAAGGGCAGCGGCAACAGCTTTGTCGTGCTGCGCCTGTGGTCCATCAACCTCCGCCTCCTCTGGTTCAACTGCTTTGTGGCGAAATTTATGAAGTGGGTCGCTAACGCCCTCGGCACGACGCGCCACAACGGCCGCAACTAATTCGTCGGGTTTTTTAACTTTAGCAGCGTCACGTATATTTACATTGCGTCGGCGCTGCTCACACAACGCGATAACTTTACCGACTTTGGCAACTCGGACTACACGGTCGTCAGCTCCAAGATGTACCTCCTTGACGGCATTCTCAGTCGACTTGTTTGACAGCTGGTTCCTCCGTGCGTACGGCGAGTTGGCGTTCGCCCTGATTCTCAACTTGCTCGTGGTACTCTGCCTGGATCGCGTGGTGAATCGCATCTGGTGGCAACACGTGGCCGACAATTCCCTCGGCCGACAACTCATGTACAACTCGACCGCCATCATTAGCGACTTGGGGTACAACTTTGTGGACGTCCCCCATTACGGAGACGCCGCCATCAGCATTCCTGCGCGGGCACTCTGTACCATCCAGTGGTTTCTCACGTGTTACACGATGAAATTCGGCCTCCCCGAGCACCGCCACAAGTTTAAAGCCATGACCAAGGGGTCCAAGGCCAAGCCCCGCCAGTCGTTTACGCAGGGCCTCACGAAGCGATACACGGTGCACAATGTGCAAGAGCGCATTGTAGAAGAGAACGGCGACTTTGACGACGACCATAACGTCATTACACACGAGATGTACATCTTAAGCCAGGACAACGAAGGCAATATCTCCTTGTACAACGCCCAGCACCACGAGATTCAAGCGTTGAGCTTGGAAGTCAAGATATTGGCCGACGCCCAGTACACCGTCGCGTAGTTGACGAATGGTCAATTACTCTAGTACATACAGTATGTCGAGATTATTCCCTCGAAAAAAATGCATGTTACCTCGCGCCACTCGTAATCAAAGGTCTCGTCTTGTCGATACACATATACAGTTTTCATTGGACGTAACGTCCGTCTCGAGGATAACTGCCTCACCTGTGAACCATGGACCTTAAGCTAGCTCTATTTTTGGACATCCCAGACAGGCGAAGGGTGCCGTCATCGACTACCTGTTCCAGCCTGTTGCTGACATACCACAAAGGCAGACAGGACTGCTTCATCTAGATCCGAGCGAGTGCGTTGTGCACGCTCCAGTGGTTCCTCACAAGCCACGCGATGCGGTTTGGGTTGCCCGAACACCCCGAGCACATTCAGTCCTTGGTGTCCAAATCCCAAGGACAGTCTGGCAGAAGCAGCATCGCCGACAAACCGTCGCATGGAAGGCATCGCCCGGCGAATCACAAGCGTGCGGTGGTGTACGCCGTCGTGGAGAGCAATCCAAAGCTACCCCGGCAACAACCCCAAAATGAGCATCATAGTCCCTACCACGATGACGACGGATCCAAGGGGGCCGCCGCCGCGAATATGTTCATGATGACACAGGATTCGGACGGGTACCTCCGTCTGTCAACGCAAGGAAGAAGGAAATTCAAGCGTTGAGTTTGGAAGTCAAGACACTAGCCGACGCCAAGATCGTCATGGCGTGATTCGTGACTCGCTTGGTTTTGAGTTTTCAGTGCTAACCCACAAATTGATGTATGAGATATCTGTTTTGAGGATACCGGTATGCAGCAAGTCCAGCGCGTCGTATTTTGGGAGTCGTCGCGACCAACCACCGGGATTGGTGGCTATTCCTAGAACACGTCAGTAACATTGTCACGTTCGGTGGGGGTTTCTTGAGTAAAACGTAGTCCACTTGGAAAAACGGTGTGGGCGATGAGTTGGCGCGTATATATGCAAGCGTTCCGCAACTCGTCGGTGGGGTACGTGGTGGTCACGCACGGTCCGTCTACGCTCAAGACGATCGTGTCGGCGATTTGTGTCATCTAGTGTTGGTCGACGTGACCAGCAACAACTGGGAGCTGAACGACCTCATCGGCAACGCCCGCACACTGTTCACGCCCGTGCTCAACGTGGCGTCGCAGCAAGACCTGACCGACACGTTTACGTTTGCCGAGGGGTACTCGCTGTCCACAACGTCCAACGTGGGGCTATTCATGCTCAACTATACACTGCAAAAGATCCACGCGCATGATGCTAGCATGTACGTGCTCACGGCCGACACGTTTCTCATCAACGGCGGGACCAACGACATCTGTGGCTTGTTGAAGCAATCGTACCTGGTCAAGGCCAACACCACCAGTGTGAGTTTAGGGGTTATCGAAGACGGCATCCAATACATTCGAGGACAAGCGATCTCCAACTTTTTTCTGGGCATCGGCCCCCCACCCTCGTTTGGAAGCGATCACGACACACTCACATCCCTTGGGTACATTCCATCGCGCATGGATGCCGACGTGCGCTTGACGACACTCGTGGCGATCCCCCCGCAGGGCCGACTCGCGCGAACGTGTCTATGTATCGGTACTACTCGCGCGCGCTTTGCACGGGGTGCGACCCCATCGTCGAGCTCGGCTTGGACGTGTGCTCCGTGACGACTTCTTTCAACGCTAGCTCCCGCAAGCTCGTAATCGAGTCGAGCCAAGCGGTGGTAGGACACCACCGCGTGCTTGGCATGATGCTAGAGCGGTCTGGGGTCACGACGGGGTCGCTGGTCGTGCGTGGGGTGTGCGTCCTCTTTGTGCTTGCGTCGTTCACGACGAGCCAAAAGACGGTGTGATGGATGGACAGCGTCGCCCTCACGTCATGGTACAAGAAGCTGCTGCACATGATCGCGCCGTCGCTACATCGGTACCAACACCGGCTCCTGAACCTGCCGTACTTCTGCTTCAACAGCGACATTTTTGTCGTGGGGTACGTGACGGCGGTGCTACTGGACGAGAAAGCGTGCACGTTGTACTCGCGGGCGCTGTTTCGGTGGAACCGAGACACCCCTAGTTCGTGGACCAGCTGGTATGTGTACCTCCGCATCCTGTCGATGAACTTTCGGTGGGTGTGGCTCAACTGCTTCTTGGTCAAGATCATCAAGCTGATGGCGAATTTTGTGAGCGCCACGGGATACACGAGTCGCAACTTTGTCGTGGGGTACTTTAACTTTAGCAGCATCACGTACGTGTACGTGGCGGGCCTCGCGCTCGTGTATCGGCACAACTTTTTGGACTATAGCAACTCGGACATGGTCGCCCTAACCCCCGACATGCAGCACCTGGACGGCATTTCCATCGACTTTTTCGACAGCACCCTCATGCGGGGGTACCCTGGCTTGGTGCTTGTCATGTTCCTCAACCTGGTGGGGGTGCTCTCGATCGATTTGGCCGTCAACTTCAAGTGGTGGCGCAAAGTGTCCAACAATTCCCTCGGGCGTCAGCACATCTACAACTCGACGTCCATCATCACCGACATGGGGTACGTGTTTGTGGACTGGCCCGAAAGGCCAAGCTGTGGTCGTCCCCGTGCGATCCCTCTGCACCATGCAGTGGTTTCTCACGTGTCACACCCTTCGCTTTGGCCTTCCAGAAGACCCGGCCAACATTCGGGGGATGGCGTCCAAGGCCGGGTCGATACCGAGTCAAGCTGCGCAACAGCGCGCAAGTCACCGTGGCGCGCCGCCAGTCGACGGTAGCCGCGGACGACTTTTTCATGCTGGCCCAAGATCAGGATGGATACCTTCACTTGTTCAACGCGAGGAAGACCGAAATCCAAGCGCTGAGCATGGAAGTCAACGTCCAAGCGGACGCGAGGTACATGGTGGCGTAGTGTGCAACCATTGTATTCCCACGGTAATTAGAAATAGGAAAACGTAAAATTGAGAGGTAGCCCTGCCCCCACGAGATGTGTCAGTGTCTCCATCGTATTAAGTAACCAAACATTTTGCACGATGAAGTGACGCCTTATCAGAAACTCTGTGGCGATCTACGTTCAGTATAACATGAATCGCCACAGCGTTCACAACTAGGCAACTCTCCAGTAGATCTTCCAGCAGATGGTGTGATTGATGTTGCCAATCAATCACCCAATGTTGAAGTTCCAGAAATCCAACGGTACGATTTGATTGGACAACCCCATACTGTTACAGCAATTCTGCGTCCAACGAACGATCTGAGCGCTCGTCCTTCCAGCTAAGAATAATTAATATACATGGCATCGATGGCTTGAACCGAGTTGAAATGTGTCGTAGCTCGAATGAACGTCCTTGCGTATTACTTACTACGTAGTACTACTAGTAGTAGTACCATGCTTCTTCTTAGGCCCGTACTTGCATACAGGGCAGTAGGTCGCGACCGAGGAGGTGCAGGAGGAACAGGTAAGTTTTCAGCCATGCAGTTGAAAAATGGTTGGCTATGTGGCAGGCTTAGTGCATTTGGCGCCAACAAGTACAGTAAATACTTCGAAGTATCTCGATGAAAACCTTCGAAAATTAATTTTACTAGTAGTATCTCGATGAAAACCTTCTATTAATCGATACATTATTGGCTTATGCAGTATATATAAGACACAGGAGTTCATTCACGCGCCAAAGGAAAGTCAATCAAACTCTATTTTGCACAGCAGCAAAACAATATTATTTCTGACAGTGTCTAACTAGTAAAGAGTGTCTAACTCGTATTACGGAATACGGTACTCAAGGTTGTGTTTACGTACTATAGACCTATTAATAGTTATTAATAGTACAGTACAAGGTTGAAAGAATACCACTCTGTAAGTTGACAATGCGAATATCAGCACAATTTCCTTCCTACACATTAACTAACCGATTTCAAGACGTGAATCAGGTTAGTGGAGAATAATAATATAAACATGACATACAAACTACAACTGAATATATAAATACTCATAAATAAAGATATCCCAACTTCAATATTTTGACCGAGTTTAGATATTACGGTCGGTAGATATTCTGTACTTCCTTGTAGGATCTCGCAGAAACGGCACTTTGCAATTGTTGGCGTATGATGGAGACCCTGTACATCAAGTACCTGTGTCCGTTCAAGAAGTACGTGACGCTCAACTTGATTGGGGGACCCCGACCGCTTCAGTTCCGATACTTTATCAACATGCAGAAGGGCGCGACGTTCTTTTTTGTGCTGGCGTGCATGGCGTACTACGACAACTGGTCCTGGACTGCGCATGTGTATTTGGCCAGTACGTTGTGCTTCGTCCTCTCTATATACCAACACATGTCCGTAGATCACGGCATTTATGGGTTCATTTGGCTTCTGAAGGACATCACGGTGCCGGACGCAACGTGGCAAGTGTACTTGACGATTCCGTCGGCGATTGTGGCTGTGGTTGGTCTTGGCGTTTACTGGGTCGCTGGGTACATTGTGGTGGCCCATCGCGTGGAGGCATCGCCTTCCCTGGGCGCGTTGTGCATCATGATGAATACCCTGGGCTCGACACTGATGCTCGCCGCGGACACGCAAAAGTACTTCGCGCTCAAGTACAAGAAGGGTCTGATCTCGTACGTCGTGACGAAGATGTTGAGTTGTCATCATATGAATGGTCATCACTTTGCACGTAGGGATGGATGGGTCACGTGGAGCCGCAACACCAACTACCTAGGGGAAATGATGTTGTACCTGTCGTTTGCGCTCTTGGCCAACCACTGGATCCCGTACGCGTGGCTGGCGTTCGTGTGGTCGATGCTGTTCATGTCCAACATGATGGCCAAGGATGCATCCCTTCGTAAAAAGGTACTTTGTCGACAAGTACTAGAGTGCTCACAAGGGAACGTTACAGGAAGGCGGCGACGCATACATGGCCAAGGCGGGCTTCTTGCTGCCCAACGTCGCGGGATGGGCGGCCGCGTCGTGGTCGTCTGCGCCCAAGGTAGTTAAGGAGGCGTGATAAACCCACTCGAAGCTTAAAGTGTGTACTTTTCAATCCCACAAAACAGTTCGTTTGAATTCGTCGGGAGTATTCATTACTCGTTTCGTGGACGGCAACACCGGTGACGTTATCGACACCAAACTCACTCGACCATGGCTAGCATAGACATGACCACCTCTACTCCACGTCTCCCACCATCATACACAGAACTCATTTTGTACTATTCACTGCATAAAGAATACACGTGGTAGAAGTATCAGGTCGTCGCGATCTCCATGGACAGTTTCTGAGCGTAAATTGAGTGTGTCGAGATCCCCATAACGTTACAGACGTACAGTTGAATGCGAGTGACCGGCAGCATACCACGTCGACGGCGCCTTCGCTTCTTGGCACCACGTCGACAACAATGTATCTCGTACGCCGCTTGAAACTTCACCACTATTAGTTTAACGTTATACTAGAAGTACAGGTTGGGTGGGTATTGCATGCAATATGACTGGAATCGGTGTACATATTATGTAGTACTTCGTAGTACATCTACGATTTCACAACCGAAAGACTCTTATAATAATAACATCACATGACGACCAAGACCTGCTTTATGAGCGGATACAATGAGGTTGTCATGTGCATACACAATGTACTCGTACAGCGTTGTATCTCGCATGATCGACTGACTAGTCATTCTCCATCAATACTAACGTTACTAAATACGTAGTCGTAGTACTAGTAGTAGTACTAGTACTGTACAACAGTAGTATTAATAGTATTCAGTATTGTGGTATATTCGATACGAATTTCCAGGCAAATCGAATCTCGCCGCCGAATCGAATTGACGCTAACTATTGGCTAATCCATTTTTAAGTGGATTTGATTGGCTCTTGCAGAAAGGACAAGTATATATATTCAACCAATCAGAACTCCGGCATAATTCAATTTGACAAACCAGGCGCCAACTTTGCAAGTTTATAGCGAACTTTGCAAGTTTATAGCGAATTCACAATACTAATTAATGTAATTACTACAACTGCCGACCAACCAGGGGGGTCTTGGTCACTTTGCGCTGCTCCGACGCGCCGCCATCAAAGAAGCCGTAGCCCGTGTCTTCGATGGACGCCGCCCGATGGCGTCCCATGGACGGCTTGGCCGAATTGGGGAACTTGACAGACTCTTCCTTGGTCAACATCGCTTGCATCTGGAGCAAGTACGACTCGAGCGTATCGCAGTACCGCTGGGTTTGGCGATGCTTGGACGCCACACAAAACTACCACAGCACCGTCAAACAACCACCCTCGTCCCAAGTCGTCATCAGTACCTGGATGCCATCATCCTTGATAATGTATCCAATGCCAAACCCTTCCGGCACCACCGGACCAAAGCCAAACAGACGCAGCGACGGATTCCCGCAGTTACTCGTAGAAATGACACTCCGGCCCAGCTTGAGCCACGCGTCGTCGGTGAAAAACGCTGGCTCGGGCTCGCCAGGGGACACAATATGATGCAGTTGCTGCAGCGCATACAAGTGACGCTCGACACCTAAATCCACCACGAATCACCAAGTGTTTAGATACGAGTTTACCCACAATACCCATATCATAAACAGATATTGTCCCGAATATATATATATATAATATAGAGATCCAACAGATATATTCGGACAATACCTTGACCACTGACGCAGCGCTTGACAATGGCAGAGTGCGACTGCACGGCCGCGCGCAGCGCCGCCGTCTGATCGAGCAAGTTGGCGTTCTCGTCGACAAACAATTCCAGAAACTTTTTCGTTTCAGGGGTCATCGATCGAATGGCTTCCGTGCGTCTAAATCGAATTAAAAATATATATTGTGAATTTGCTATAAACTGTCAAGACACACGTCTATTCAATGCTATTATTAATCATAGTGAACAACTCTGGAACTTCTGATTGGCTGAATATATGAGTCCTGTGTGTAAGAGCCAATCAGATTAACTCAAAATCGGGTTAGCCAATATCGTCGATTTCGATATACGACGTGGTCTGGAAAATAGAACCGAATCCACACTAAATCAAGAACCTATCGTCCCTTCAAAGTAAATACATATAAATAACCTGATGATCCGGTATCAAAACACAATATATATGTATATATATATATATATATATTGAATAAACATTTACCCGTGAAGGAATCGCTTGGTCATGGCCGGTTCGTATTGGTTCACGATCGTGCCGTATTGCAAATAGTAAGCGGCCAAAAAGGCAATTTGCACAAACGCATCAGGGGAGCAGTTGTGTTTGGTGATGAAACTCTTGCCGTACGTTTTGAACTCTAATACTCGCGTTTGGTTTTGCACAATCAAATCGCTGAGGCGGGCTTCAGCAAAGCTACACACAAGTTGGGTACTATATAGTACTACTTCTGAATAGCCACGGTACCGAATGCCTTGCAGCAGCTCAGCGTTGAGCTTCCATTCCAAGCGCACGGGGGCAATGTGTAGATCGTCTGTGGGGGGACGGTACGCGCCCGTCAAGAACGACTGGGTCGTGCCACTGATGCTCTGGGCAAATCTATGAGTATAACGTGATGACGATTGTGATGAGAGTTTATAGGAATATATATATATTGTGCATTCGATTCGACATTGGAGTGGGGATATATATATATAGATATATATAAACAGCACGAACTCGATCGATCGGCCAATCAAAACCCAACACACGAATCCAGTGGCCAATCAAAATAAGTACATTCTCTTCAACCGTGCAATATCAAAGTACTGTAGATTTTGTATGCCTTACAATCTACATGGTATGTGTCGTACCTTTGTCACCATTTGAACAATATATTTATATAATACTATTATTACATGTGCTAGGTTTCAGATTGCATTGAATGATTGATAAAATTATATTCACGATATATATATTCCACAACACATACGATGATATTTCTGTAAAAAACGTCAGTCCAAACAATCGAAACAATCAATCGATTGATTGAGTTGGCAACTCACACATCAATATATATATCCAACTTTGGCTCAAAAGTAAGACTAGAGTACGGAACTGTACCGTATCACAGTATCCGTAAACACATCCGAGGCAAAGCGCAGAACTGTGTGGCCGTCCACGACCGAGTGCTCAAAGTTGACGCCGGCGACGCCATTGTCGCACACGATGATCTGCAACTTGTCATACCAACGATTCATGCACGTTCCAGTCTATTGCATCCGAATCAGAACCATCGAATCAGACTCAAAACCATCGAATCAGAACCTTGAAGTTGGTGTACGCACCTGGTGGCCTTGCACAATCTCGTACGTGCCGTGGAGGGCTGTGGAGGCAAAGTCGGACGCTGTGGGGGGCGACGTGTGGTCCAAGCATACCAGAAACAAGGCGCGGTCGATCTACAGTGGAAGGTGACGACATCCGATCCGAGAGGACAATGGGACTGCCTCACCATGGCCAGCGTCTCGGCGTTGTCCTGATGAAGCACCTTGCGCAGCTTGGCCCAGCTCACGCGGTGTTCGGTGGTGAGGACGCCAACGGCGGAGGACGACACGGTCGCGGGGGGCCGCGAGTTGGCGTCGTCGACGATGCGGCGCAGGTTGTCCATGATTTCGCGCTCCGTGATGGCGGCGGTGCCGTCTTCCCACATCACGTCAAACCAGTAAAACTGGTTGCTACATCAAGGACGCACGTGAGGGAGGTTGTCGGAATTAACGGATGAAAGCAGTGCATTACCGACACACAATCACAATGTGCTTCGAGTTGGGGGCGACTTGCACGGCGTCGTTCGTCTCCGTGGGGCATCGCGCCGTGGCAAACAGCATTCGGAACTGGTTCATGCACAGAGGTGTCGTGCGCCACACGTCGGGCTTCATCGTCTCTGTGCGCAGCGCATGGATGAACTACAGATATGCAAAGTGCCATATCGTTATTGATTGAAATGCTTTGAACCTCACGAAGAGGGGACGCATGATCATGGAGCGTGTGGAGGTAGGTAGGTAGGTACCTTGAGACTGCTGACAATGAGCGACGTCGCGCGACTGACTTGATTTGCGCGCGAGGGGGTCGGGTCGTCTTCGAGCACGAAGAACGGGTTTACGTTGAGCACCACGGACGCCTTGTAGTTGAAGTACGCTTCGTACCAGAAGTCCTCGATGAAGCTGTTCTTGTCCTTGGCGTATTCAATCAGCTTCTCCTGCAACGCGGCGCCGTCGTGCGCCAAGAACGAGTCAATCTTCTTTTGCGTCGCGGCATGCTCCTCGGGCGTTTGGAGGACACTCACGGAGCGCGCGTAGTGCTTGAGGCTGTCGGCAAGCTCCGGAATGGGAAGCTTCGGGAGCGTGTCTTGGGCGTCGAACGTCTTGGTCATCGTGGGTCTCTCTTACTTGGTGAATTCGGATCTGAGCCGAATACTTTTTCCTTTCTTGTGGGCTTCCAAGGATTTGTCATGGTGCTACTTTGAACTTTGGCGACCGGTGATTGGCTACTTGCGATGGTCGTCGAAAATAGTGGAACCCGAATTTTTATTACTACAGTAGGATATTTCATTGACAGAATATTTTTATAAAAATACTTTGACTTGGATAAGCACAGACGGTTGACAGAATATTTTTATAAAAATACTTTGACTTGGATAAGCCCAGACGGTTGCCACGTGTTTTTTTTAATTGAATAATAATCGCTGTTTTTGCCTCCGGATACTTGTACGGTAATCCAATGTTGAAGTTGAATACAAGTAATGGGTATTTTTACCACGAGAATAATATTTATGAATGGATCGCTTTATAATACTACTAATCTTAGTTATTGTACTGTAACAGCAAACTGAGCATCTCCACCAGTTACTATATATATAAATTATTATTACTTACTACCTACTATGTAGTACTGGAGTAGTATTATATTTTTATAGTGTTGCCAGTGGAGATTGCAGAGACAGCTAGCACACATTGCATAGGTAGGTACAGTAACAAGTGTACTTGTTCCATGCATTCAATACTGTAATGTGCATGTGGCTGCAGGGGCTCTGCATTTTCCTCGTCAACGCCTTTGGATATGTTTATACTCCAATACTAGTACTACATATACTCACTACCTGGAAATAAATAAAGTGATTAACGACTACTACTACTACTACTACTGTACACCAACTACTCGATCGTAAACCCCGTCGGGTCAGACAGCAGCAGCATCGTCAGCGCTTCTTTCATCATGTCCTTGGTCGGGTACAATGGCAAGTCGATGCGGTTGTAGCACGCGTGGGTGGCTGGGTACGCCCCACCCTCGTACGGCACGCCCTTGAGCGTAAACCGGCAGATTTCGCCGTCATAACTGGTCAACCCTGCATACATTTCATGTTTTCAAAACCACACTTTTCACCCAAAAACGAACAAAAAATATCAAAATTCGACGCACCTTTGAACCCTTGGACGGGCACTCGGGACGACCCAGTGGCAAATTGCAGCAATCTACTGCGATCCACCGGCGACATGGCCTCAACCACTTCCCAAAACCACTAAGTCCAACCATCACAGATATGACGTTAACAAGGAAAGGGGTATGTACCGATGGAGAAGTATAGACACACTACCTGGAGGGGCGACGAGTTGTCCAAGTTGGATGACGTGACTGTGTTGGCTTTCCAGTCGGCCACGTCCACTTCGGCCAACCCGCACAAAATCAGCTCAAACTAGAGACGCCATTAGGTACTCGGTACTACTTAGTACTCATGCATTAGGTAGTACCTCTTTGTGGTCGAATGGCATGAGTAATTCTGGCGGGACAACGTCGTACACGCCTTGAAGTAGCGCCGACAACTGCGCCTCCACGCGCCCAAACACCAAGTACCGCACCATCAGGCGCACGTACTCGGCCTTGTTGGCGTCCGTCACAGCTCTCAAATGTCCATTCTCGACCAACTCGACTTCGACGACAGTGTTGTGTCCGTGGGTTTCCGACACCGAAAACGTCAGCGCCAAGTCCTGTGCGTTGTCGTGGTCGAGCAAGTAGAGCAATCTGTCCAAACGAAATCATATATATCATATCAGCCACAAATAGTAATGTATATCAACAGTTGGATGGGACTTATTACCCCTTGTGCACGGTGCGATCCAGGCCTTCAACATCATCCAATGTCAACGGGACCCCCAAAATCGCTATAGACACATTCAATTGATATTATTTCAAAACGACAAATAGTGTGAGACTCGTACTACCTTTTAAAAGCACGGGGCTCAAGTGCATGGGAATCACTTGGCCGTCCAAGAGCGACCGCCCGAGGAAGCGACCGACGGCATGGAATGCCTTCAAGTGATCCATGTGGTTGGGGTGCCTACACCACACATACAATCGATATAAACCTTCCAAGAACATTCCAGCTTACCGCCACGCATGGCTCGAGTTTGGATTGATAAAGTAAGAGTTGTCTTCTCGGTTGAGCACGACAAACAGTCCATTCGCCTCCACGAGCAGCCCTTCCGACACCAGCATGTACCTACCAAGTGTTATAATTCCACTTATATAACACAAGAAGCACCATTCTCGCTGGACGGCGCCGGCATCTTGGGCTGATTCGCCCGTGAATTCGTAGCGCACGATCGCACAGAGGGCGCGGGGGGGGTAGCTGAGCAGGTTCTCCACCGCCTCTTGCACGATCGCATCTCGCATGACTTTGACTTTGATGTGCAGCTCGTCGTACGGGACGACTAGGTCGTGCACTTGGTGCAGAAACCACGCGTATTTCATGTAAAACGGCAACTTGGAGATCTCAAGCAAGCTCGACGCGGTCGCGGGCGGCACGACAGAGCCCAGCACGGTCACGTTGGCCGGGGTCGTGTCGAGGGGCTGCCACATGATGACGTGGCAGTCTTCTGTGGGCGCTTGATGGAGTTTCTGAAGGAGATCATTCGGGCTGGCACAGTCGATGGACGACTGATGGGTCGTGCGGGGGGACTCTACCACGGGCGACAAGTTGCCCGACGAAGATGGGGGAGGGGTGCTCGGCAGCGGCGGTGTGTTCTAGTTATGCCAAAAATGTATGAGAATACACTTTGGACACTTTGCAGGAGGAATATTGTATGAAGTATGGCTTTACAGTTTGTTATGGTCAATATACACGATTCGAAACTGGAGCTGTCAACAGAAAATCAAAGGACTTAAAGCGAGAATGGATTCAAGAACCGCATAAGCCAATCAAATAACTACGTTCTAGTGAATTTCTGCCAATCCAAACGTTTGACTCGACTCTGCGAATATATATATATATACTAATCTTTGTATCGAATAGTTTGTACAAGCTTAAATTGGATCAAATGCATGATTTGGCGAAATCACTCTAAGTGCAAAAATTTGAGTGAAATGCACAATATACCATTTGAATCACGTGGGCGTCGGGGACTTGGGCAGCGTCGAGGAAGCGTCTCGTCCACCGCACGACGCCATGGACGTCGTGGAGCCGCACCCATTGCTTTCGCATGCTATAACCATGCCCAAGTATATATATTATTACCAAGACACGAATGTAAACAGCAACATTGGAGAGAGATGGTTCGATCGGTACCGAGCGCTGCGCTGCTGGGCGTTCAAGTCCTCGGGCAAGACGACATTTTCGAACGCCATCGAGTAAATGCGCGACGCGGTTGCATGCAGGGACGACGCGCGGGTGCTAGTCACTTGCAGGTAATTGGAGCTGGACGAACGAACGACGGTGGCTGGCTTCGCGGGCGTCGACACGCCGTGGATTTCAATGAACCGCGTGTCTACAGGATGAAGACTTAGCCCAACGATGACGGGTGCACAATGGTGCAGGTCATATATAGTACTGTACCACGTCGAGTGCCGCAGAGCAGACACACGGGCTTCAAGTGCAAGTTCTGAAAGTCGCACACGGAGCATGACCACAGCTCTTCGTCGAGTTGGCTACATATTCGTATGAGTACAGAACAGCTACATGCAATCATGGTGCATGAGAGCACACGTACTATTCCTCGAGGTCTTGGCGCTTGAGTCCAGGCATGAACGAGAGAAACCTACACCAAGCTGAGCCCACCGCCATGGATGTAAAAAGCCCACGTACTGGCGATTGAACAGCGAATCGTTCCCTACTTGCGTCGGCACAAAGTAGTACTTGTAGTAGGCCCAATTGGCGACGGCAAGGAGCACGACTGCTATTGCTATGGCAATGGCGACATATTTGACGTTGGTCAGGTCCGTCGGCATGTCAGAGGTGGTCGGAACGAAGAATGCGATTGCAATGTCAAACTTGGCTTGGAGTTTGTATTCGTTCCGGTTGAAATATCTTGGCTGGCTACTTTGTGGAAGCGCTGTGATTGGTCAATATTATCCATGTCGTCAGAATGTAGGTTAGAATGGCAACTTTGCACAGTGGGATATACAATCCGAAAAGCGCTCCAGTATGGTCCACCACCTCCTCGACCTATAGTAGTTTGAGCTGCACGTTTTTGCTTCTATCGTATTCCTCTTGCTGTCTCCATCATGGTAGAGAGCGTGTACGTGTAACAGTGTGTTGCACCATCCTTCGGATTCCACAGTTGCGACATACACTGTGTAGGCTTGCCCTCGATAGCAATCAATTACAAGTACTGCCAGTCAAAACGCATACAATCCGAGGGTCACGGAATGAATGCTGGTCGTTTTCGAACCCTTGACTTGTCATCGACGACGGTTAATAGTGTTGGTGCGTTCTGAAACCCAAGAGAGCTTGTGTTTTCAGATGTGTAGGTTTCAGATGTGTAGGTTTCAGATGTAAGAGCATCTTCCAACTACAGTACATATCGATCTACACTGCATCCCCAAAACCAGTTATAATAGTGGTACCGTCGAAGTTACGGATAATTTGGGGATGTATCCGGGTGTTTTTGTCCCCATTTCGCTCTGACGTCCAATACAGTAACTGAACATTTTGGGGGAATTTGGGGACAAAATGGCCCGGATAAGACCCAAATTATCCGTACTGTAACATAAAGTAACGGTACAACCGAAGTTTTGAGAAATAGAGTTGGGATAGGGACCCGCGTTGGAGATGCTCTATAATAAGTTGCGGCAATGCAGTGTGGAATGCGCAGCCAGGAAATAGTTAATTCCCTCAGTAAAACACTTCCACTGTTGTATTTCTTCGAATAACTAGTACACTGCAATTTGATTTTTTAACGTTATATGGATCTTTGTCTACTCGGACCACCTCACCTCGTACTGGAGGTTACAGTGAGTACCTCAGTGGTTAGCGACTCGCGATGGAGTTAACCCTGGGGATTTAGCGGTATGTACTCATCCGGTGGCTATGTACGGGCGAAAACATGTATCCGGATGGCATGATTCCCTCGTCGTGAAACAGTGTTTTGGGTCAATAGAACAGTGGAACTGTTTGAATGAGGGAATTATTCTGCTCAGCCTTGAACATTTGTAAGCGGGACAAGGGAGTGTGTGCAGTATATGTACAGTACAGCACTTTTCCAATGAACGAGTACAGACTGTCTGTACGCATAGCATTAATAGACCTCTTGACCAATGAATTTAAAGACATTACAACATCCGCCGTGGGCATCCTAACCTCTTGGATCGACATCCCAATCCAACGCTTGGAACCACCAAGTTCTGGTTGCGCAACCTATACCGACAGTGTGAAATTAAGTTGTAACTTTATGCATATGTTGCGCTAACTGTAAGAGTCAGAACACCCTGTTCTGTCATGAACATCACCACTGCCCTGAAGCCTCAGGTAGCAGCATTGGCTGCAGCTAGTAGGAGGTTTTTGTGCCTTTTAGAGGCTTTTCCTCAGATAGTAGATAGCCAGCCATATCCACGGTACATCATTAGGATGCCGTGTCCTGATTGGCTAGCCATTAGCTAGTCCGTCTAGCCTTTAGAGCCAGTTGTTCTCACTGGTAGCTAAGCTAATTCACTTTCCGTTTCACCCGCAACCACCCAGTGTTCCCCCTGGCTTTTGCACCTTCCGACTGGTTATGAGCTCCACCGCATCCTCTGCTGCGGCAACCCGCCCAACCCTCTCTGTCGTCCACAACCTGCGTGGACTCGACAATTTTGACGAGTGGCACTTTGAGTTGACCACGATCGTCCTCCAATGAGAAGGCCTGACCACTCAGGCGACGCAATGCACTGGCGTCGAAGCCAAGTGGCCCGTCAAGGGCCTGACGCGTGCATTTCGCGTCCTCGATGGCGACACCAAGAAATTGCGTCGGTACATCGACGACGCAGTCCTTCGACCGTCA